TGAAGACTACTTAGAACTACTTAGTCTGGAATACATGACCTGCTGTGTCAAAAAGCACACTCTGACTGTGACCAATTAAGCAGGAAATCGTCCAGTGTTCCCAAAGAAATGGCCTGTAATGTCATTGTCCATTTGTCCACTTGACTGGGCTAAGGGAAAGGAGTAAAACCGATGTCTAAAAGTTATCGATGTCACTCCTGAAGCAGAGGCAGGCAGAACTCTGTGAGTTCGAGGCCAGCCTGGTATATAAAGTGAGTTTCAGGACAGCTCTGGACAGCAGGGAGAAGCCCTGTCTTGAAAAACCAAACAAACAACCAAACAAGAATTACAATTTCTTTTCTGGCTGGAAGATTCATAAGCCATCTGTGCTTTATACCAAATACTCAGTTGATCATGGTACCACAAGTCCTTGCAACCATTGAAATTTCATGTAATTGCTCTATACAGAGCCTTCTAATAGATGAGACTGGAGGTAGATGGCAGAATTTTAAACTCAATTTTCTTTTAGCTATCTTAGGTTTTACACCATATGAAGGGGACTGGCTAGATATTGAGTATTCTGCAGAAGAAGGATCGCCAAAGATCTCAATACACTCACTGAAGGCCACACAGTGTAGGCGCCTGGAGGAGGTAACTGCTTTTCTGTATTGTTGGTGTGTTTCAAAGCCTCCTTTGGTGGTGTTTGTAACCAGTTATCTGTTGGGTGTTCAGGGGAATATGAACATGCGGAAGATATCTCCTCGACCTAATTTTTCAGTGGTAGGACTTTAAACAATTAACGAAAGATAACAGAGAACATGGAAATACCATTCTGAGTCACAGGGCTTACCACTTGGACACATGTTATGTGTGCTATTCTAAAAAGAACAGGGGAAAAGATGAGCAGTCCAGAGAACACTGTGAGGAAATTGGAAATGATAAATGGGCCTGGGGCTGGCGTGCTGGTTCAGCTAGCCTGAAAATGAGTCTTCTATACAGGTTCAGACAAAATCCTGAGCTTCAAGAGAGATGGGGTCTGGGAGGTAACAGTCTACTTCATGCTGGTTTCGTGTCAATCCTTGGTCTGTCCACATCAACCCCAGCGGCTAAAGGCCACTGATGACTAATACTTTGGACATGGCCTCTCCTCAGCTGGACAGAGCCACAAGAGGTTCATCTGTGGAAGGGAGTGTGTGACTCAGCACCCCAGGGTTGGCGGTGTAATGGGCAGAACAGGGCAAGTTGCCTGGGTGGGTCAGCAAGTGTTTAGAGCCAGGGTGTGGAGGAACAGGGGCTGTCCAGGGGTTCAGTTTTCCCATACTCAGAGCCACACTTTGTCTTGACAGGTCCGTATAACTAGCATGCACAGACGACAAGGAGTGTTGAATCATACCATCTTCTTCACCTTAGAATCACTGAAACGCCCCGTGGGCTACACCCCTCATGCAGGCCAACTTGTCAGCGCGGTGATAGTGCAAAGCATCCGGCCCAACTACAACTGGAGGGCAATCTCCATGACTCCAGTGCTCATGATGTAGGGGCCGGGGCCCTGAGAGCCCTCTTCATGTGCTTTCTATCAGTACAGGGCCTCATTTAAAGCAAACGCTTATGTTAGGAATTTTAAAGAAAATGGTATGTGAATTTTCTGGCCACTATACTGCTTAGATCTCTCTCCAGGGAGAGGGCACTCGGTGTGGGAAGGGACTTTATCCATCAGAACACATGCTCAAGCTGCCTCTTGATGGCAGCAATGCCAGCATATGACCTGAGTTGAAATACCCAGACAACAGAGACCAGCAGTGTGCCCTCTGCTGCCACTGGGGCTGGTTTGTCCCATGAGGAATGCAGAAGAAAAAGCATTTGACAGCCAGCTGCTTGCTGGGTTCCATGTGGAGTCTGCTCATGGGGGGTGTGGTGTTTGTTTGCCCATGGCGTTTTCACTCTCCTACACCTACTCAATTGTTACAGTCATTATCTGCCTGGGGTCCATCTTCCCATGCTAGACTGTAAGTGTTGTCATCATAGCAAACCCTCCGATCGCAGGAAAGAAGGACGGAGTTCACATTACTAATTTTAACAAATGAATTTAAGAGCATCAGTAGTGTTTACCCATAGCGAACTGACCGTCCATTCCCAGGCAAAGAATTTTCAGCATGCCACTAACACATAGTTGAGTCTTCACACATAACATCAGTCTGACCCTTAGGTTTTGGGGCCCTGTGATCCTGCAGAAGGGGTCGATGTCAGGGACCTGGTGGGATGATTGGGCCCCAGATGGTGGAGTTCCGGGACTCGGGTACATGATTGTGCTGGCTGAAGGCAAATAGCCCACCACCTTCCCCTCCTTCACCATATGCTTTCCTCCTCCCTAGTCACCTTTACCCCTGCATTTCTCCTATTTCCTCTTTCCTCCTTCGTGCAACCCTTTCTTCTTTACAGCGTCTATTCTCCTTTTCCTTCCCAATTCCTCTTTCCCTCCCTACTTCCCTTTCCTTCTGCCTCCAGCCTCTTCAGTCTGCTTGCGTCTTCTCCCTCGTCTTCATAGTTTCCCTTGTCCTGCTTTGTCTTACTCCTTCCTTGTGAATTCTTTTTCTTCCCTCCTCTCTCTTCCATTCTCCTCCTTTCTCTTTCTTTTCCTCCTCTGTCTTCTTCCATCTTGTCTGCTTTAACCCCTCTCTCTCCTTCCATCCTTCTCCCTTCTCCCAGCTACTCTGTCATGTCTCCCCACCTCTCCTTCCTCCTTCCTCTTCCGTCCCTCCCCTCACTGCTCCTCCCTCTTTCCTCCTCTGCCTTCCTCTTTCCTCATTCTTCCTCTGTCCACTTCCCTTCTCCTTCACCCCTGCATCGTCTTTCTGCCTCCCTCCTTTCCCCTACTCTTCTCATCCCTCTTTCCTCCTTTTCCCTCCTCATCTCCCTTCCTCGTCTTCCACCCTTCTTTCTTCCTCTTGCCTCTTCCTTTTCTTCATTCTTCTTTCCTCTTCCATCCTTTCCCAGCATCCCCAGTCTTCCCTCTTCTCCATCCCTCAGTTTCCTTTTCCGCTACTGCGTACTCTCCCCTTCTCCCCTTATTCCCTCATTTCCCCTTCCTCCATTCCCTCTTCCCTTCTTTCTTTCTTTATTCTTGCTCCCTTGTGTTTCCTCTTCCCTCTTGTCACGTCTTTTGTCCCCTCTCTGTCTTCTTCCATCCATCATCCTTAGTCTTCTTCCTTCTTCCCTCCCGTACACTACCCCTGCATCTTCCCCTCATCTTCTTCCCTTCCATCCTCTCCCCTCCCCCCCCTTCTCCCCTCCCATCCTCTCCCCTCCCCTTCTTCCCTTCCATCCTCTCCCCTCACCTTCTTCCCTTCCATCCTCTCCCCTCACCTTCTTCCCTTCCGTTCTGTCCTCCGTCCTCTTCCCTCTTCCATTCCGTGCCCCTTCTGTCCTCTTCCTTCCTCCTTCTCTTCCCCTTCCATTTCCCCTCCTCTTCCTCCTTCTTCCCGTTCCTGCTTTCCTCATCTCTGCTGTCTTCTTTCCTGTCTCCTCTTGTCTCCTCCACTCTCACCTCCTTATAACATCTCCCTCCTCTTCCCTCAACCCTTCTTCCCCCACCATCCAGTTCCCACAGCCCCCCACTTCCTCCACCCCTCCCCAATCCTCTTCCTTCCGTTTCCTCCTTTTACATTCAGATTCCTTCCTGTAGCCCCTTTCCACTCTCATCTTCCCTCTAGCCAGCGTCCTCCACTTCCCAATTCCATCCATTCCCTCCTCTTCCCTCCTTTAGTATCTTTCCTCTCTCTCTCTCTCTCTCTCTCTCTCTGTCTCTGTCTCTCTCTGTCTCAGTCCCTCCTCGCTCTCCTTTTCTCTTCCATATACTTGCCCCTACCATCGTCTTCCCTCCCCTCCCTTCTTCCTCCATCTTCCGCTATTATGCCATCTGCCCACCTATCCCCTCCCCTTTCTCCATTGCTCTTCCATGCTTTTATTACCTCCTTTCGCTTCTTTCTTGCCTGTTCTCTATTCCCTCGGTTTCCCTCACTTCCCCCTTATTCACACCCTCCCATTCCCTCACTTGGCTTCTATCCCCCCTTTCCCACTTTCATCTTCCCTATTGTCTTTTCTTAGCTCTTATCTCCTCTTCCATCCGCATCCTCCATTTCACGTGTCTGCCCTCGCATTTCCACTTTCCTGCACTCTCATTTCGCTCTTGTCTCTCCTCTCTTCCCTCCATCCTCTTGTCTAGTTTTCCTACTGCCTTCTCTAACTTCCTTTTCCCACTTCCTTTCTCCCTCTTGGGTCTTCTCTCTTCCTTCCTTTTTCCTTCCTGTTCCATCCTCTTTCCTTTGCTCTCTTCCTCCTTCATCCTTCGCCTCCCTTCTATTTCCGATCCCTCATTTACAACATTCCCCCTCCTCTCTCTTTCCACCCCCCTCCTCATCCATCTGCCCTCTTCCCCCGTCTTCCCTTCCCTCTTCCCTCATCTTCCCATTTCCCTCCTCTTCTCTTTGCTCCTTTCCCTCCTCGCTCTGAATTCCTTTCATGTCGTCTCTTCACTCTCCTTTCCCCTCCATGCTCCTCCTTCCTCTTCCCTCTTTCTTCCCTTTCTCTCATTTCCTTTCCCTTCTTATTCCTTCTGCATCCCTTCCCTCCACCTTCCTCTTCCTTCTTCCCTCCTATGCCCTCCTCCCTCGTCTTCCCTATTCCATCTCCCTGCCTCCTTTGCCCTCTTTCCGCCTTGCTACCCTTCCATCTTTCTTCCTCTTCCTTCTACCCCGTCTTCCGTTTCTTTGCCCTCTCTTCCCTCCTCCTCTTCCCTACTTCCTCCTCTTCTGTCTACTCTCGCCTCCCCCTTCTCCCCTCCCTCCTCTCCATGCTCCCAGCCTCTTCCCTGCACCCTTCTCTAATTTCCTTCTTCCTCTTTCCACTTCCCCTTCCCTCCCTGTTGTCCCTCCCCTTCGCTCTACCCTTCTTCCTTTTCTCCACTCTTCCCTCCCCTTCCCTACTCTCTCCTGTCCTGCAGCCTCTTTCCTTTGCCCTCATTTTCCTCTTCCTTCCTCCCTCCCCTTCCATCTTGTCTTCCCTCGCCACCGCCCTCCTCTCCGCTCCCCTTCTTTCTTCCATGCTCTTCCTTCCTCTTTGTTCCTCCTGCTTTTTCCCTTCTTGTGCCTGTCACCTCTCTATGCGTGTTTCCTCCCCTTCTCCTCCTCCCCTTCCCTCTTCCCTTTTCTTTACACACTGTCCTTGTCCCACGTCCCTTCTCTTCTTCGCCTGCTCTTCTTTCCTCGTCTCTGCACCTGCTCTCCCCTCCTCTTCCTTCCTTTCCTCCACCCCCTCCTTCCTCCCCCCTCCTGTTGTCTCCTCCCTGATATTCATTGCTCGTGTTCCCTAGTCTGTCTTGGCTCCTCACTCCATTTCCCTCTTCCTTCCTCTTCTGAGCTCCTTCAATGTCCCTCGTCTTGCCTCTTTCCTCCTCTTTCTTCATGCCTCCCCTTCTGTCTTTATACCTTTCTGTCTTCCATTTTCCCTTGTGCTCCCTGTTCTGTTGTCACTCGCTTCCTCTCATCATCCCTCTTCTTCCCTCCTCCCCCTACATCTGTCGTCACTTCCTTTCCCTCTTCCCTCCTATCATTTCCTGTCTCCTCTTCCTTTGTTTTCCTCTCCCCTCCTTTTCTCATTTCTCCCCCCTTCCTCCCTCCCTATTCCTTTTTCCCGCCAACTCTTCCCTTTTACCCCCTTCACCGCTCCTCCCTTTCCCCTCCTCCCCTCTTCTCTCTTCTTCCATCCTTTTTTCCCCTCCACTCCTTTCACCTCCCTCCTCTTCTTTGTTGCCACCTCCTTCTTCTACCCCGGCCTCTGATTCCCACTTCCCTCCCTCCCCCTCCTCTGTCTTCCCTTCACTTGCCTTCTCCCCCCCCTTCTCTCCTCTCCCTCCCTCCCTTCCACTCCTCTGTCCTCCCTCCTTCTCTATCACACCGCCTCCTCCATGTACCCTAATCTGTCATCTTCTGTCCTCTCTCCCCTCCTCTGTCCTGTTACCCAAGCTTCCCTCCTTTCACCTCATCCATCCTCCTTCTTACCTCCAACTTGTATAGTCCCGCCTCTTCCTTCCTCTGTCCTCTATACACTACTGCATGCTAGTCCCTATGCCCCCTTCCTTCCTCCCTCCTTTTCCATCTTCCGCCTTCTCCCTGCTTTCCTTCTCCTTCCTCCTCTAGCTTCCTGTTCTTTCCTCCTCAGCTTTCCCTCTATTGACTTCCTCCATTCTCTTCTATCATTTTACAGATTATCTTCTCTTCAACGTTCCTCCTCTTGTTCCCTCTGCCCTCCTCTTCCCTTTTGCCTCCTCTTTGACCCTCCCTCCTCCTTCCTCTTCCCGTTCGTCCTTCTTTTTTTCTTTTCCCTCTTCTCTTCTCCCTCACATTGCCTTTCACTTCCCTTCCCAGTCCTGTCCTCTTTGCTACTCTCTCCTCTTCTCTCCTCCGCTTCCCTTCTCTGCTGTCTCCCACCCTCCCTCCTCTTCCCTTCTCTGCTGTCTCCCACCCTCCCTCCTCTTCCCTTCTCTGTTGTCTCCCACCCTCCATGTTCTTCTCTTCTTCCCGTTCATTTCTCTTCCACTCTCTTCTCTCCCCTTTTCTCAATCCTCCCCTTCCATGCTTTCTCCTCCTTTGTACTCCATCCTCACATTCCCTGTCCCCTCCTCCCTCCTCCTCATGAGTCATTCCCCTCCTCTAGACTTATTCATCCTCCCCCCCTTCCCTCTTGATTCCCCCCCAATTCCTTTCTTCTTCCCTTCTCCCTCCTCTTTCCTCTTCTTCTGCCTCACTCTCTTCTTGTCCCCCCGCCACTTCTCCCTTTTGTTCATTTTTTCTTCCTATTCTCTCCTGTCTCGTCTTTCCTCTGTTTCCTCTTTTCCCCTCACGTATCTGCCTTTTCTTTTTGCTTTGCTCTTCCCTCCAACATCTTCCCTTTTTTGTACTTGAAGCCTCTTTCCCACTCTTCCCTCCTCTTCCTTCTTCAATCCCGTTCCTTCCTTCCTCCTCCATCTATTTCCCATATCCCTCATCTCCCCATCTCTCTTCACCCCTTTTCTCTACCCCTCTTCAGACTTACCCACTCTTACTCCTTGATTTTCCCTCATACCTCTACGCCGCTTTTCTCTCCACAGTCTTCTCCCCTCTTCCTTCTTCATTACTTTTCCCTCCTCATGCCTCTTTTTCCTCCTTTACTTTCCCTTCCTTTTCTTTCTTTTGTCCTCTCTCTCTTCCCTCTGTTCCTTCCTCTCTCCATATTCCTCCTACCACGTGTTCCCTCCCCCTCCTTTTCTT